CCCACCGACCACGGGGACCTTCCTGCTCTACGCTCAGGGGCAGCAGATCGGGTACCTCCCGCTCAACGGGACGCGGCTGCAGAAGGAGGCGGCCAAGACCCTGCTCTCCCTGCATGTACGGTATCCCCGGGGATGGGGATGGGGTGCGGGAATACCAGAGGGAGTTTGGGAATGGTTGGTGCTGCTGCTCTGAGTTTTACACCTGCCTGGGTGACTTGTCTGAGCTGTTGTGGTTTGGGGGGGAATCACCTCTTGAAGGTTGTTCTGTGGGGACATTGCCTGTGCTGCTTTGGTGCTGAGGTGGCACTTTTGACAAAGGCCTGGAGTGACAGGAAAAGAGGGAATGGCTTCCCACTGACAGAAGGCAGGGTTGGATGGAATACTGGGAAGGAATTCTTGGCTGTGAGGGTGGGGAGGCCCTGGCACAGGTTGCCCAGAGAAGCTGTGGCTGCCCCTGATCCCTGGAAGCGTCCAAGGCCAGGTTGAACAGGGCTTGGAGCAACCTGGGCTGGTGGGAGGTGTCCCTGCCCATGGCAGGGGCTGCAACAAGATGGTCTTTAAAGTCCCTTCCAACCCAACCCCTTCTGGGATTCTATGGAGGAGGATTGTTCTCACCTCTCCCTCCACTCATCCACAGCAGAAAGGCAGGTCAGTGACAGGTCCCAAACCTGGGACTGCCCACGAAGAGAAGGATCCTGGGTGCTTCCAGAGCTCCCCAAAGTAGGTCACAGCCCTGGGCTTCCAGCTGCGCGGCTCTACTGCAGCCTTGCCTTTTCCCTTCCTCGGACTCCTCCTGGAATGTGGCCATGTGCATCTCCAGCCAGGCCAGACCAAGGGGGAGGAACGCTGAAAGCTGGGCCACGACCCTCCCTGCACCCCAGGGAATTGAACACTTTGCCAAGTATTCCCTCTCCCCATCCTGGAGGTCATTCCTGGGGCTGGCTTCGCTCTTGGAGCAGCCTCTCCTCGAGGCAAAAGGCTTCAAATCCATCTGGCCGTGGGTGTGTGCCTGCACCAGCTGGCCTAAAATCCTCTGCTGCAGCATTCCTCTGGGAGGGTGCAGTGGGAACCCGTCGGAGTTGGGTTTTGCTGGAAAAAATGGGATTCGAGCGTCATTCCCTACTGCTGCATCCTGCAGCGTGCGCCGGGCAGCTCCCACTGCCAGCAGGTGGGATAAGGATGCTCAGCGAGCCTCCTGGCAGGATTTCACCCCGTGTCCCTCTCCCAACCTTGCCAGGGCTCCATCGTGGTGGGGATCGACTATGACTGCCGGGAGAAGATGGTCTACTGGACGGATGTGGCCGGACGGACCATCAGCCGGGCGAGCCTGGAGCCAGGGGCCGAGCCGGAGACCATCATCAGCTCAGGTGTGTCCCCCTCCCAGCGACACCTGCCCATCAGCAGGTCACAGCTGCGGGGCTGTCCCGTCCCTTGGGCTCCTCCATCCGCACGGGTCAGGCGGGCCAGGGGGGCTCTGAAGGATCCCGGAGCGGCACCTCCCGAGCCGCTGAGCGTGGCCATCCCCCGGCAGGACTCATCAGCCCCGAGGGCCTGGCCGTGGACCACCTGCGCCGGGCCATGTTCTGGACGGACAGCGGGCTGGACAGGATCGAGCGGGCGCGGCTGGACGGCTCCGAGCGGCGCGTGCTCTTCGACACCGAGCTCGTCAACCCCCGCGCCATCGCCGTGGACCCCGTCCGAGGGTGAGCAGCAGCGGCTCCTGAGGGATTCGGGCACGAGGTGCAAGGGTCAGATAGATGGAGCCACACCAAGGCTCCATCCTAACCCTGGGAGCAGCTCTCCCGCGCTGCACACCCCGCGGGAGGGGCTGGCTCTGTTCCCCAGCCCCGCTTTTATTTAGTCACTCAGGATCTGGCTGAAGCTGCTGTCTCATTATCGGGATGGACGTTGTTTTTTGAAAGCTCTGAAACGCTCCTGGCGTTTGGAAACACAAGCTGTGCCTCCAGGGTGCTGTTGGGATAACAAAATGTGCTACTCCTAAGGCTCGCCCTCGTCCGGGAGCTGCAGTTTGGGTCATAAACATGTTTGATATTGCTCTGCTTTGCTTTCAGGGATATTTTCCTAATCAAATGAAGATGTTTCAGGCACTGATAAGGGGAAAAACAGGCCTTGCTCCTGACAAGAACCAAACAAAGGGATAATCTCCTACCACTCCTTAACTGTTGTGTGTCCTGTTGGTGCATTATTTCCCAAGGAACCTTTACTGGACGGACTGGAATCGTGAAGCTCCCAAAATCGAAACTTCCACTGTCAACGGAGCCAACAGGAGGGTCCTGGTGCACACAGACATCGGTTTGCCCAATGGCCTGACGTTTGACCCCTTCTCCAAGCTGCTGTGTTGGGCAGATGCAGGTAAGGTGAGCTCCCCTCTTGTGCCAGGGGAGGTTAAGGTTGGATGTTGGGAGAAATTTTTTCACGGAAAGGGTTTGGAACAGGCATGGGAACAGTCTGCCAAGGGAAGTGGAGGGATTTAAAAGCCGTGTGGATGTGACACTTTGGGACATGGGGCAGTGGTGGCCTTGGCAGTGCTGGGGGAACATTGGACCTGATGATCCTGGAGGGCTTCTCCAACCCAAATGATTTTATGATTCTAAATCCTCAGGCTTAAAAGCTGTTTTAAAATGTAGTAAATCAGGAAAAGGTTTTTCACCCACAGGGTGGTTGGGCACTGAACAGCCTCCCCAGGGCAGTGGGCACAGCCCCAAGCCTGACAGGGCCCAAGGAGTGTTTAGACAAGGTTCTCAGGCACATGGTGGGATTTTGGGGGTGTCCTGTGGAAGACCAGGAGCTGAACCTGATGATCCTTATGGGTCCCTTCCGGCTCAGCATATTCCACGATTGTATGAAATCCGAAGAACGCATTTGCTGGGGTGTTTTTTTATGGTATGATAAATGCCTTGTGTTTGAACAGGCACAAAGCACCTGGAATGCACATTCCCTGACGGCACAGGCCGGCGTGTCATCCAGAACAACCTCAACTACCCCTTCAGCATCATCAGCTACGCCAACCACTTCTACCACACGGACTGGAGACGGTGAGGGGGGAAAAAGCCGCTCCCCGCGTGGCTGGGAATGCTGAGCTCCCTCCAACAGCTGGGAGCCACCCTCCATGACTCCCTGAGAGCAGCCTGGAGGGGTTTTGTGCCAGAGGGGGAAAGCAAAGGCTGTCCCCAGCCTGCTCCCAAGTCCTGGGGGCCCCACCAGAGCTCTCGTGGGTCTCTAGAAAGCTGAACGTGGGTTCAGCAACAGCCGCTTGTAAATCTCGGCACAGAGTTGTTTGGACACAGCCCCAGCTCTCTGGGAGGGACAGAAATAGTGATGTGGTTTCCTTTTTTTTTTTTTCTTTTTTATTTTTTAAACTAAAACTTGGCCCAAGTCTCCAAATCTAGATTAGGGCAAAGCAGAGATTCTGTCCTCAGAGTTCCCTCTGCCCCGACACCCAAAGGCCTCGGCACCAGCAACTCGCCTCAGTTCCCACTCCAGCTGGAAGCTCTCAAAACTCCCATCAAATCTTAGATTACAACAAACACTTAAGTGCTTGCCACGCTTGGAGGAGACTCTCAGGGAGATAATCTCTCCTTGGAAGGCTCTTTCTGCGGCTGCATCACCGGAGAGAAATGCACTGAATGAGCTGGAGGGAGGTTTTATGGGGCAGATTTCTTTTCCACTTGTCCTGCAGGTGTTCAGACTTTTAGCTGCCCCTGTTCTTAAATGCACATAGAAGGGGGTGGCGGAAAAAAACAAGTTTTATAGATGAATAAAGCACTTCTCCCCCTTTTTTCCCCAGGGATGGGGTGATAGCTGTGAATAAAGACACCGGCTCCTTCACCGACGAGTATCTTCCAGAGCAGCGATCCCACCTCTATGGAATAACAGCAGTTTATCCCTACTGCCCTGGAGGTAAAACCCACCCCGAAACCCACCTCCTTGTGACTCTCTGATGGCTGTTTGACACACTAAAACTATCCATTTCCCCCCCACAGCAAGGAAATAGTAACTCCCAATTCCAAGGAAATCAACGATCTTTGCACCCAGAAGAACTTCAGACCCAGAAAACCGTCCCTGCATGAGAAAGGGGGGAAAAGCCCTCAACCAAGGCTAACCAAGCAACCTGCTTTCCTGCAAATAAGTTTGTTTTTTTTTATGGTCATACCTCAAGACTTTACTACTGTATTTTTTTTACCAAGTGGAAAACATTGATATATTACCAAAAAAAAAATGGTCCTGGGCATCTCAGGCCATTACTAGAACTCTTGCGTAATGCAAGAAGATTTTTGGTGGTTTTTTTTTACTCAAATGTTTTATTTTAACGGAAGAAGAATGGATTAATTTTTAATGGTTTCGACAATCTGACCAACAGGTCTTTTTATCCAAAAAAAAAAACCCCAATTAAGTGCCTATGGGAAGCTTTGGATGCAGTTATCTCCACGCTGGGTCTAAATAACCTCCAGCCCTGAAGACAGAGACTGTGAGTGCTCCAAAAAAAAAAAGAAAGGTGCAGAACAGGGATGTGACGTGGCAAAGGCATTGAAGATTTTTCCAGAAGATGATTCTGTGTTTTCACCACTGCCTCAATGCATGTCTTTTAGTATTTATATTAGAAGAATATGCTAGAATTGATCTGTTCATGCTTGTTGGTTCTTCCAAGTGCCTTCATAGACCTACCCAGTGTAGACCAATACATGTTCAGAAATACCCAGTTACCTTGTAATGCTTCACTTTTTCTAGGTTACTTCAATAATTGAATAAAGAGGTTGGTTTAAGTTTCCCTTTGGGTTTAGTTTTTAAATATTTCAAGGGGTGTGTGTGTGGGGGGGGGGGTGGGAAGCAGCAAGCAAGCCAGGAGCAAGCTGTTCACAGGGCAGGACCTCAGCAAAAGAGGGTTTTATGTAACGCTCCCCTCTCGACACGAAGCCAAACACAACCGAAAAAAGGGGGGAAAAAAAGGGGAAAAAAAGTCCTATTTGCCAACTCAGAGCTAACCAGAACAATTTGTCTGTTTTCCCCCATCTCATTTATTTAAAGAAAAAAAGAAAAAAGACAATTCATCAGGAGTCAGAATTTGGTTTCCTGTTTTCTTTCCAAACAGCGAAACGATCCCGTTTCAAGCCGCATGCCGGAGTAACGGGGCTGTACGTGGTTCCTACTTGCACTAAGCACACACAGGGCTAGAAAGCCTTTATCCCTTCATCTCCCAACTTTCCCCAGTCTGTGGTCAGTCTTGGGATCGGCAATAATGGCCTGGACAGCTACAATGGCTTCGTTGATCTTGGTCTGCAGCTCCCGGAGCTCCTCTATGTGCAGCAGCCGGAGGATCTGGGCAGCCTCGTTGATAACGGCATCTGGGGAGGGGCAGGGAGAGAAACTTTCATTCCATCCATCATTTTTAGCTCACAGGAAGGCCTTAAGGGCAGCTTAATTGGAGTTGGGGGTTGTGGTTTCCCTGCTGCTACAGAGGGACGGGGTGTCCTCCAAAACCTCACCCAGCCCTCACAAATCCAGGGCTGGGTCAGGGAATCAGAGAAGCACAGACCGGTTTGGGTCGGAAGGGCCCTTTAAGGATCATCTCATTCCAACCCTCTGCCATGGGCAGGGACACCTCCCAGTGGAAAGCTGGTATGAAACATTCCAAGCAGTGATTTAGGTGGCGTGGAGCCAGACTAGTGGAGCCCCAGGTCACCTGGCCACGCCTTACAAATAATCCATCAGGTCATGCCAACTCGAGCTGCCTCCATTAGGTTTTAGGTGAATCAGGCAGCTGAAATCCCTGGAAGCAGCACAGATGTCCTCTGCTGGTAGCAGCAGGATTTACAAACAGCAGGATGCATTCCTTCCTTCCTTCCTTCCTCTGGGAAACGGGGCTGCCACGAAAAGCTGTTATTTAAACATGACTCTGAAACAACAACTTGCCCAGCTCAGATTTTAGGCTTTTCTGTTCCAAACCCAAACGCTCAGGAGTGCTCATAAATAACCAGCTGGGAGGGAGGAATTCTTTCCACTCCAGGGTGTTTTTTTTTTTACTGGGCACATCAGCTACATATTTGACAGTAATAGACTCTGTCAAAGGCAAGCGTGGCTGCTTAAAAGTCACATCAGGAGAAGTGCTCACCTCCCGTGTCAAATCCAAGAATGTGCTTTTCCAGAGCAACAGGCAGACCCTTGGAAAAGGAAAAAAAAAACAAAACATGTTCAAATACAGTTAAAAATGTATGTTTGGTAAATAAAAGCCAGTGATGCAGCAGGTAACTCTGGAGGAGAAGACACGAGTTTTGCTTGTGTGTGTGTGTGTGTGTGTGTGTGTGTGTGTGTTTGATTGCACAAATCTCTGTCCTGAAACACCAAACCCCGAGTTTTATTACAGAAAAAATCTGCCTGGTTAATAATCCCTTAAGTTGTCAAGCAAAACCCCGTTGGACACGCAGTGCCTGCGTTCAATCCTTAAAAGGCCAACACCAGGACTGGGAGAGAACACCCAATCCAGCAGCATCACTCCCCGGGCAAACAAAAACCCTGCACAGACCGGGCTTCCTTAGAAACTTCTGCCTTTAAACAGCTGCCAGGTTTGGAGCACTGGATGATTCAAAAGAGCTGCAAAAAATAAAGAGTTTCTCGAGCTCACAACCTCCAGCAACGTCCCCCGAAGCATTTGCTCAAGTGCTAAGCTCGGGAATAAACTAAACATTCAATTTTCTAAACACTTGCTCTATTAAAACACTCCAAGGCAGAGTTTATTAGTGGTCATTTACAAGCACTGCTCTGTTTCCTTTACCCTCCCCAGCTGCAGAGCAGCAGTCACGCTAAATAATTCCTCACCGGGTCTCAAAATGCACCGAAAATCAGATTTAAACATTGCAAATCTCAGAATTTGCTTTTACTGCCTCGGTAATCTTTTTTTCAACGTTTGCCACATGCTTTGCATTTGGCACAACAGGAACATTAAAGCTCAATACCACCAGTTTCTGTAGTGATGGGGTTGTAAAGCCTCTAAATGGTGAGGATTTCATTTAAAGGTTTTTTACACATGTTAAAAAAAAAAGGATCTGAGTTGATCAAAATACACATTAAATACAAAATGGTGACTGCAACTCGTTACTTACCCCGTTTTCAAAAAGTGGTTCTTTTCCATGGCCTTTATAGGAAAATATATGTATTTTTTAAGATTGCAGTCAAATATCTCCACTGTTAAAACTGGTGATAAAAAATGCCCCTAATGCCGCTTCAAACAGATCCTAGCAATGTAGCAGACTTCCTACATGTATTTTTTTTAAGAAATCAGGTTTATAATTGAGGCTGCAAAGAGCTTCCTGCCACCCTGGGGTGCTCTCAGAGCCAGACGAGCAGGAAAACTCGTGTCATTTTTTTTGTGGGTGGTTTTTTTTTTTTTTTTTAGCCAGTCAGGTCTTTGTGGATGAATTCCCCAAGGCCACTGCAGTTTCCTCCGACACCAAGTGTCCCCTTCACCTGGTAGCACAGCATTCCTTACCCTGCCTCCTTCCCACACTCCCTGTGTTTGCTGCTTTTTGGGGGGTGGGAGCTGCCTTTGGAATCTCCCCCAGCCCACAGCACAAACACATCTCCCTTTGCACAGCAGCTTCAAACAGACCAGGGACTGCACAGGCCACTTCCAACCTCATTCCCCAAAAACTGAATTCATAAATGCTGCACAAAGCACTTGCGATGGGCCTGACCACCATGGACAACTCCCCTGTAGCTGGAAATATTAACAATAAAACCAAATTCCCTGAGAGTGGGAGGAAAAAAGTGTCCAGATTTCCCAGTAGGGGGAAAAAGTACCCACTTGGTTGTCCTTTCTAACATATCCCCAGGTATAGATTTTGGGAGCATCCCTGAAGGGCACTTGATCCTACTTGGAATACAGTCACCAGGGAAGGAAGGTCCAGGATAAAAGGGTGTCAGAACAAATCTGACTCCTGTCAGTATAAATCTGAACTCATTGAATTGCCAGCCATTCAAAATAAAACCTAAAAAATAGAAATAATATAACCTAAAAAATATAAATAATATTATATATGAGATATAATATAGAATATTATATATGATTTATAAATTAGAATGTTATTATATAATATATAATATATTGTATATATTATATAATATATACATTATATACTATATATTCTACTGTATAGAATATATAGTATATAATAGTATTTATAGTATATAATTTATATATACTATATATATTCTATATATACTATATCGTATATAATATATGATAGTATATAATATATACTTATTATTATATATTATTATATACTCTATATAATATTATATATAATATATATAAAATATAAATAATATAATCTTAAAAAATATAAATAAGTAATATCTTACCTTGCAAACCTTGCTTACCTTGACCACCCAACGAGATAAATCTCATTTCACTGGGTACACTTAAACCTCAACCACAGCAGTTTTGTTTGCTCAGCACCACCCTCATCCACATCCTTGAGTCAGGGGACATCTCTCCATCTATTTTACCTTCTCCCACTCTGTCCTGATCTTGCCAAGAATGCAACTGCTGATATTTTGGGTATCAAGCCATCTGCCACGAGCAGCCAGGGCTTTTATTATTTATAACCTGTTTCTGAACACACAGAGTGTGACTGGCCAGTGTTTTGGCCATTAGCAAACCAGTCAGATTCAGCAGCAGGGTTCTGATTTTCCTTCCTTTTTATCCTGCAACCCTCTGCTTTGAAGACATTTTCTCCATTCCCCCGACACATTGTCATGTTGATGATCTCTGCTGGCACAGATAAAGCTGTTTTCCTGCCTCTACCCACCCTGCCTTTCCTCTACCTCCCTTGGAATTCAGCATTCCTAAGGAGGACACGCTCCCAGTAATATTTGTCATGGTCAGTGGCATCTCGACCTGAGACTTTCTGAATATGAACAACTCCTTGCCAGGAAAAAAAAAATTCCCAGTTCCTTAAGGAAGATCCCATCTTGATCCCTGTGTGTCAGCTGTGCAGCTACGAAAACAACAACCAAAAGCTGGGTTTTATTATTATTATAGAACTTAAAATGAAGACAAGTCTCTGCTGTTTCCATATTTTCCTGCTCTTGTAGCAGTTTTATGGATATACAAGTCCAAGGCTTTGATTTACTCTTCCAAGGCTTCTGGCAATTACTGCAACTCAGAGCACCCGTGGTTCCCACTTGGAAAGCCTCCCTGGCAGTGTGTGATGATAATAAATAAATCATGGACTGTTGTGAGCAGCTGCCAGGAAAAGATGAAGGGATCTGGGCTCTTGGAGCAAATCCAGGCCTTTTAACAGGGACTCTGGTACTCATACACCTGCAGGGCAGGTGAGGCCTTTCCCAGCTGTGCCCAGACTCAGTGCCAGCAGCTGCTGTGCCAAATGCCAGAGAGATGAGTTTGGAGAAGTGGAATGCTGAAGAAATGACAAGCTGAAAAACCGCAGTCATCCCCCCCGGAACACCTTCCCAACAGAGGTTACAAAAGAATCCTGCAAAATCTGAGTTTAAGGGCAGAAGTTTCCTTCACCAACTCTTTTCTGGGGGGGAAGGGAGGAGGGAGGAGTTGGGTGTCCAGCATCCCATTCCCCAAACATGGAGGTGTATGTAGAAAAGAAAACACTCCACACAAGGAATGTTTCGACCTGTTTGCACAGCCAGTGCTGCTGATTCCAAGGAAAAGCCAGGCCATACATTTCTTCTCATACTACAGACCTGCTACACTGAACAGTCAGGGCAATCCCCTGGGAAATAACTAAAGGAAGAGCTATTCCATGATATATTTGTATCCAACTGAAACAAAACGAGCTTTGCCTACCACCCTCCACAATCCTCTGGGTGTGTTGGGACAAGGGTGGTGAGGATAGAAGAAGCTCCCACCACCCTCCTAGAGGAAGTGTTGATATAGAGGTGGCTTTGCCTGAGGGGGACAGGCATTTATCATCGTTAATTGATCAGGAATAATTAACCCTGGACACATGGAATGTGCATACAAACCTCCTTGGACTGACTGGCCTTGGCGATGGCGTCCTGTGTCAAACGCTCCTGAACCAAAATGCGAATTGCCTGGGAAAGACACGGAAAGGTGAGAGGAAATAATTCCTGCCTTGGTGCATTTCTCAGTAATTCCCAGGGGAGAAGGAGGCAAAAATTCTAACTCAGCATAACCTCAAACCCAGTTTTGCGAAAATTTTTTTGGAGAACTCTTTTCAGACCTCAGAGCTTTTCGTTTCGTTTCACTCTTGGGTGTCTCACACAGGTATGTGAAGCAGCTTAAACCAGAACAGACAAGGACATTAATTCCACATGACTTATTTCAGCCACTCCTGGGCAAGAAACCGCAAAATACAAGGAACAACCCGAAAAGCTCATGATTTTCAGCCTGGACAAAAGGAGGCTCAGGAGGGACCTTCTCACTCTACAACTCCCTGGCAGGAGGGGGGAGCCAGGGGGGAGGTCAGGACCTTCTCTACTGGTAAAAAAAAAACAGGACAAGAAGAAACAGCCTCAATTTGCACCAGGGGAGGTTTAGATTGGATATTAGGAAAAAAAATTTCTTCCTTGAAAGGGTTGTCCAGCCCTGGCACAGCTGCCCAGGGCAGGGGTGGAGTTCCCATCCCTGGAGGGATTTCAAAGCCTTGTGGATGTGGCACTTGGGGACATGGGTCAGTGGTGGCCTTGGCAGTGCTGGGGGAACAGTTGGACTCTGATTTAAAGGCCTTTTCCAACCTAAACAAACCTATGATTCGAGAACAAGCTGATCACAATGCCAAAGCACCAGCAGCACCACTTTTTTTTTCCTGTGATCTCACACCTTGAACGCTGCAGCAACGCAGATTCTTCAGGAAGGAAATCCTGCTTCAGGATGGAATTCCTGCTAACAGCACCTTCTAGTAGGTGCTGAACCACCTTCCATATGCAGAGAAACCTAGAGCAAGGCCACCCACCCAGGTTTTAAAGAGACTGAGAGCAGAAAGGAGTTAATTTTAGACTCAGGAACAAGAACAGCCCCGACTTTGACAATCCTGCTGCTCATCCGTTCTCGCTGGCTCCAGCCCGTGGGATGAAATCCTACCAGAGCCATCAGTTACTGATCCCTCCAGCTCTAAATGCCTCTAAGAATAACTGCAGGAATACCATGCAGGCAGACTTCCACAGGAAAGAAGAACTGGGTCTGTCAAACACATTCCTCAGACTTTCCCTGACGAGCAGCCAAACGTGGCAGAAGCAGCTTTACCACTTCGTGTTTCTCCCCCCGGGATTTCTCCCAGGTTTGGTCATGATTAAAGCTGAGCTTGATCCTAGAAAGTTCCCACCAAATACTTCTAGAAAATCTTTCTAACCGAAGGGAACAGCCTGGACAGAAGAATGATTTGATGAGGAGTTCACCAGTAAATTCCAGCAGTGAAACCAGACCTGCTGGAAGAGAATTCCGAGTGCCTTTTGCCTTAGAACACGGATATCCAACTGTGTTCCCCAGATGCTTCCTGATCAAGTTGCCAGATTTACATCAATAAAATGGGATTCCAAGCATCTCTGCTCGCTCTGGGCCAGATGTCTGTGGTGTGCCTGCACCCTCTGGCTCTCCCTAAGCATCCTCATGAGTGTCCAAGCCTGAACAGGGATCACAAATTCCCTCCCTGTGCACTGGAAACCTGCTTATTGTGGTGCAGAACGAAGAGTTTCACTGACACCTTCTAATGATAAACTCATCAAACCAGCACTGCTGTTGGTCATGTAACGCGGATTTTCACTGCAGGGATTTACTCTCGCTGTAATTAACAGCAGGAAATGTCAGGCTGGTTTTGTCCAGCCACGTCTGCCCAAAAAAAGCCAGCCCAGAAACGCAGGAACAGCGACAGAAATGGAGAAACGGTGACATAATTGTAAATATATTTATGCAAAAAGCACATTCTATCTCTTCCAGCTGCCAGCAGCAAATTTGGTAGACCCAGGAAAGTTTGCCAATCCTGGAAGAAGACCTGAAGGAATTCTGCCTGGAAGGAGCTGAGCTCATGCTGAAGATCCTCAGCATCACCATTCCCAGCATCTCCTCCCTCCACCTGATATCCCTTTCCACCGATTTTTCTGGGATTTTATTTTTTTTGGTAGGGGTTTGATATAAGATGTCCACTGCTCTTAAAAGGTTATTTTATCTTCCTGAAAAAAGGAGGATACCATACTGGAGAGACTGAGAAAGAATGGATGGGATAACTGCAGGCTGAGAATTCCTTAAAAAAACAGGCTAGCAGGATAACAGTCTTTCAGTAGACCTGTTACAGACTTGCACACACTAAATAAACTTCAATACTCCTGTTGTTCAGTTTCTCCAAAATAAGTTTGGCAAATATAACAACTGCTGTCATGAATGGAACTTTAGTTTTCTTTTTTCAGTGAAATGCTTTTATTTTGGTGCCAAAGAATACTCAGCTTATTTCCACATTTATGGCATGATCAAGTAGGAACTCGGGATCGCTGCAGTCTCGTAAATAAGAGTATTTAAAAATGCTCACTACGGGATTGACCCCAAATTTCCTGAGTTCCACCAGTAAGTCCCAAATTTTCCTAAAGGCATGAAAAAGATGGTTTAGAAAACTAATTATCCTATTTAGTGCATTTAAAAGCCATAATTAGTTGTCAAAACCAAGTTAAGTTGACTCCAGCAGTGACAGGGAATAAACAGTTCACGGGACCAAGAGAAGGAGGAGGAAACTTTTAACTGTGGGTCTCCCTTGGATGTTTGTTTCAAAACATCCTCTGCATCATTAGCTCCTGTATTTTGAAGTTTCTCTGAATTTCTAGCACTGGAATACAACCTTCTCCTTTGAGCACGTTCCTCAAAGAACTCGGCTCCAACTGAACTGTTTACCAGGATCATTATCCCTGCATTAATTTCCAGGATTTGTGTTCTTCCCTGCTTGAAAAGACACAGAGGATGGGGGTTGTTTTTCCTATTTCAGCCTCAAAATTCACAGCGATCAGTAACTCTGCACCCCAAGCTATTAAACACATACCAGGCACTGGGGAAAAGAAGGAAGGAAGGAGGTGGGAAGAGCGGGAAACTCACCTTGAGCATCACCAAATAATCATCGTGTCGCTGAATCTGGAGCAGATTAGCCAAGGCCATCACTCCAGCCTTGAAGTCGGGATTATTCACTGGAAAATAACCATTGTCATTAAAAATACAAGTTATTTTAACTGACTCCAGGAGATAAAATTGGCTTCCTGACTCCGTGGTACTGGACTGCTCTTAGGGATGGGCAAGGGCACTTCATCACCACCCCTGGAAGTGTTCAGAGAACAGGTGGATGTGGCATTTGGGGACATTATTACGAACATGGCAGTGCTGGGTTAATGGTTGGACTTCATGATCTTGGAGGGCTTTTCCAACCCTAACAATTCCATGATTTCAAGGCCATGGATACACAGCAGCGATGGAGCCACTCTGGCTACAGAACAGTCAGCACTGGGCTTCATAACCAGGTAAAGTCTTTGAAAATAAAGCCAATTACGTGCAGGTGTTTATTTTATATCTACTTAAATATATACAAATAAAATATAATATTTATAAACGTGTCATGTAAACACAAATATTTACCTCTACTGTGTAGATTTATTTATATTTATTTTCTACATTTTCTCCACTGTAGAGCAGAACTGGGCTTTAAAAATCCGGGATTGAACAACTTCAAACCCGAGGAACGCACAGGCCAAAGGAACACATTCCCACCCAGGAGGTTGCTGCACACTCACCATCCAGGTTAATCAGTGGCTCTGCATTTTTGGCTGTGTTGTCAGTGTTTTTAGCACCATCAGGGGTAGAATCCTTGTATTTATCAGCTGCAAAGTGAAGAGACAAACACAAACACTGTTAGAGCCGATGACAAAAGCATTTTGCCTCCAGTAATTACATTTGTATCCCCACTTTCACTCCAAGGAGAGGAAACTGCTCTGAGTGTGGAGATTCAACTCAAGTTTTTCATAACCTTGCCCTAGTTCCCAAGGGTTCCAGATCTACTCCCTGTAAAAGAAGGGGTCTAAGAATAACTCACTGGGACAAATGTAGTACTAAATATAATGCATTTAACACACTTCAGAGTCAAGTTCTCATAAAAGCAATCCCTCAGGGAGGAGGGGATAAATATGTACAGTGGGGTTTGCCCTATCCAGAAATTAAATAATAAATGCAATTATGCAACTGCAGTCCTGGGGGAGCTGAAGAGAAACAGAGTATGGGGCGAAAACAGGCACGTGAAATTCTGTTTATTCTGTTTAAAGAAAGCAAAATATATTTTTGCATATGCAGACAATGCCTGAATTTGGTGAATATTTCACAAAAGCACTGTAAATTTGTGTAGGGGAAGGTGTCCCTGCCCACGGCAGTTGACACACCCAACACTTGGGACGACATTCCCTGCCTGTGGGGTGCCGGGCAACGGGATTGTGACATCACAGCACGTTCGGTGACACGTGGCGGGTGACAAGCGACAACCAGAGCTCAGACTCCGCGAGCTGGGCCCAGGCTGAGCCGAGCAGAGATCCCAGCAGGATGCTCAGACTCCATGAACTGGGCCCAGGCTGAGCTGAGCAGAGATCCCAGCAGGATGCTCCAAGCAGAGCTTCCCCTGCTCCTGACCCTCGGCCTGTCCTGGCTCTTCCCCAGGGGCAGTGGCTTTTCCTGCCCCCCCTCCTGGGCCACCCTGGTGTGGGATGTGCCTCCCCTGCAGCTGGAGCACAGGGGCACTGCCAGGAGGGGGATCACCACCACACAGGTGGTTTTTTGGAGCACCTCAGCCCTGTGCCTGCTGCTCCTGGGGTATTTTTTTGGGCGCCGCCTTGCCAGAAAAGCCAGGGGACGGTGGAAAAAGGTGAGGGGATGGCAGGAGGGTGGTCCGGGAGCCCCCGGGGAGAAGGAAGGTCCTCCCCAGCCCTTTGCCAGCCCCAGCAGGCACAGGTGGGGCTCAGCCACCACAAAGGAAACCAGGACAGGCTGAGCATCCCTGCCCACAGCAGGGGGCTGGGACAAAACGGTCCTTAAGGCGCCTTCCAACCCAAACCACTCCGTGACTGCGGCACAGGCCGTGCCTGGGGCAGCCCAGCCAGGTCTCATCCAGAGAGGTCTCAGCCCCCTGAGCCCCCTCTGCCCTTTCCATCACTCTCCCTTGCCCTGTGCCTCCCAGGTGGGAACCTCAGAGAGCTCCTGCCGGGACGGTTCCTGCTGCAAGTCCTACTGGCTGATGCGCCGGCTCAAGGAAGATCCCGAGCTGATGAAGCGCTTCCGGAAGCACCTGAGCAACTGCAGGACATTCGCCCTGGACACACTCCAGGTCAGCAGGAACCTGGTCTAGTTGGAGATGCCCCTGCCCAGGGCAGGGGGTTGGACTAGAAGGTCTTTACGGGTTCCTTTCAATTTATGGGTTCCTTTCAACCCAAACCACTCTGTGACCCCCTCCATTCCAGGCAAGAGAAAAAGGAAACAAGGGAAAACTTGGAAGAGGAGATGGCGAACATTCCCGGCTCCAGCAAGGTTCTCAGGAAGGCAGAACACTGCAGGGGTCCTCATGAGCTGCGCTGTCCCTGCACTCTGGGCCATCTTGGATAATAAATGTTTTAGATGCCAACTGTGTCCAAGGTAAAAATAGCGTGGAATGAGTGATCCAAGGGAGGGTGCATTCCCTACAGAGGGAAGTGACACTGCACAGGGACACTGCAGAGTGCCTTGGAACCCAAGGGAAATCACATCCATGCCGACTGTTCAGGCTTCTCCAAAGGAAAAGCAGGAGGCAAGAAGACCTGCATCAGCAGTTACAAAAATCAGAAAACTGGACTCTCCTGCACTGCCTGTGAACAGCAGTATTCCAATAATTAGTCCCACAGGATTAAGTGAGGTTGCTCTCCCACTCCCAGTCAAACACATCCAAATGCCTGCACAGACCAACATAAAATTTTACTTCCTTAGATAAGATAAAAAGGGCCTCCAAAATTGCTGAAGAGACTTTGGACAAGGGCTTGGAGTGACAGAAAAAGGGGGAATGGCTTGCCATTGATACAGGGCAGAGTTAGATGGGATATTGGGAAGGAATTCCTGGCTGTGAGGGTGGGCAGGCCCTGGCACAGGTTGCCCAGAGAAGCTGTGGCTGCCCCTGGATCCCTGGCAGTGTCCAAAGCCAGGCTGGATGGGGCTTGGAGCAACCTGGGCTAGTGGGAGGTGTCCCTGCCCATGGCAGGGGATGGAAGAAGATGGGCTTTAAGATTCCTTCCAACCCAAACCATTCTGGGATTCCATGAAAATAAAAAGAACCCCCCATTTCCCACCCATTTTTAACCATTAAATGCATTCCCTCATACCATTATCTCCGTACTCCAGCCTAACAGCCAAGCCAAGAAGCCAATCCACTGTTTCCTGCCGTTCCTGAATTTTGAAGGGACAGTTCACGTCCTTCATGTACTGGGGAGCAAAGAGAAGAGAAAACAAACAAGATGTTACTGACCTCTGTGAACTGCTAAATGTTGTTTATTGCCAGGCTGCACCCAGAGAAACCAACACACCCTTTCTCTGCTGTCTGCTCGTGCTTACAGAGCAACTGGAGCACGGGAAAGGGGAACAAATTACAGCAAAAGCTTCCCACCAGGAGCGGGAAGGAGGAGTGAGGCTGCCTGAGGCTTCCACAATACTGAAACCAGAGGATTCCCAGGGGCAGCAGAAGAAATTCTCCCCTTTTTAGGGATTGTGTACAACAAAAGAGGGCAGAAAGTGGCTGACATTCTGTCTCTGCTCTTCTCAACCCAGAACACGGGACCCAGCCCAGGATGCTGCCAATACTCCCAAAGGCCAGGACGTTCTCTTGTGTCCCTTGGCTGCCAGCAATTCCAACAACATCTACATTTATCTACAGGATATTGGAATGATTTAGGATCCCTCTGCAAAGCCTGGGCAGTGAGCACAGCAAGTGATTCCAGGGGGGGAAAAAAATGGGATGAATGGGCTCTGAGTGTTACAGAGCAGCACTTCCAGCTCTTTGCTGGGCTGTTTGGAAAAAAAAAAGGAAATGGGAAGCAAGAGGAAAAGCTCAGCAGCCTTGTGGTGACTCAGAATGCTCAGGAGATCACCCAGAGCACAGTGGCTTTGTGCCAGCCATGGAAAGCCATCCATCTGGAATGCCACGAGGTGCAGAGCTGCAGCTTTCTTCCACATGCTGGCACAGCCTAATCCACTTTGCTTTTGGTACATGGGAATCATTAATGCAGAAAAGAAGCTGTTTATTTGCAGTCAACCTTCCTTCTGCTTCAAGAGCTGAATCAAATCAGGCAACAACAACAACAAAAAAAAATTCTCCCGTCTTAATAACTCCCCCAGTTTGGCCTCAAGGATACATTCAAATTCCTAGAAATGTAAGAGTTCACCGACAGGACAAATATTCAGAGAGGTTTCCGTTCAGCAGCTGCAGCAGCTGTTAAACATCATTTGCACTAACACTTGAAAATGTGTTTGGAACAAGGAAATACCTTCTCAAAGGATTTGGGCCAGTCATCACTGTGGATGTTCCTCAAATTCCCTCGGTCTTCAATCTTGTAGTGTCTGATTTTCTGGTCTTCCAGCCAGACAATAAAATTCCTGAATTCTGTTTCATCTGTTGGGAGAGGGAAACAAAGCAGGAATTAACCAATATCTTCAGGGCAGAAACAAGGCTTTAAGTTTTGATCCAATCCATACAAATACTGATGCCCTTGAATGTTTTTACCATAATATATACATATATTTTTATCTAACACTAAAATCATGTATTCCCTGACCAATAGCCAACCCTGAGTGTTTTTCATCTTTCAAGTCACTTCAAACTGGCTTTTAACTGACTGACTACAATAAAAGGCATCAGCCAACAGGTTGGTTTTGTTGGGAATACCATCATAGCTTATCAAACAAAGAGGAAAAGTGAAAAAATCAGAGAGAAATTCAGTTTCTAACGCCATTTTGCAGACAAACACGACAAAATTTCTCCCCAAGAAAGCACCACAGAGATGTCATGGCTGCAAAGGCATTTTCTTCCTTCCCCGTTGACTCAACTCTTCTTGCCTGTTGATTCAAAATCTCGTTATTTGGGAGCTGGAATTCCACACACAGAGGCTGTGGTTCCACACAGGGATATTCAGATTGGACGAAGGAATTGGTCTGTGCCTGTGCTGTGGTGGCAGAACCCACTTGTGGACACAGCAGGTCACAGCTCTGGGGTGTCACCAGCCCCCCCGAAACCTTTCGTCATCGGGTGAGCTTTAATCATGGAATTCTGGAATGTTTTGAGCTGGAAAGGACCTTAAAGCTCATCTCGTTCCACGGGATCTTCCAGGGATCCAGGGGCAGCCACAGCTTCTCTGGGCAACCCGTGCCAGGGCCTCCCCACCCTCGTTGTAAAAAAAAAAAATTTAATTTCTAGTTATAATAAGAAACAGAAACACAGTCACAGCACACACAGAGGAAAACTTCGAGTACGACCTTATAAATTTTCTACACTGACAAAACAAATCTTTTCAGCAAAAAACGGAGAAACAATTAACCAGGAGGAACTTGGGACACGCAACAAAAAAAAAAAAAAAAAAAGATGCGAGGGCCACAACGTCCCAGTAAAACCGCGGGATTTTATTATTATTACTTATTAATTTGCAATTATCACCGTGCCCTAAATCCCGCGCCGCAGCTCAGCCCCGAGCCCGCGGAGCTGCGACGGGAGCCCCAGCAGACCCCGCTGATTAAGCTTATCCCAATTAACAAGACTAGAATCGCGGAACGGTTTGGGTGGGAAGGGGCCTCAAAGCCCTTCCCCGTGGGCAGAGACACCTTCCCCGGCCCGGCCTCCCTCCCCCCCCAGCCCCTCACCCCTGCAGTTGAACCCGGCCGGGTTGTGGTAGTCGAGCGCCGAGAGCTTGCGGCGGAACATGGTCTCCCGGCGATGCCGATCCCGGCAATCCCGGCGGTCCCGGCGATCCCGATCCCGGCGGTCCCGGTGCCGGTTCCGCCTCTCCCCGGCTCAGGCCGCGCCGACGTGACGGGCCCCGAGCGAAGGAAGCGCCCGCCCCCGGCCCCGCGATACGCCCGCCCATTGGCCAGCCGCGCTGAGCGGCAGCCGCCGCGACCAATCGAAGCGGCGGAAAGGGGCTGCCGGGAGGGGAAGAGGCGCTCCTGCAGGGACCCGGCGGGAAAGGGCGTGGTCACAGAGGGGGCGGGGTAATGAGGGGCGGGGCCTGATGAATGAGGTCTTGTGTTGTGGGCGTGGCTTGCGAGGGGGCGGGGCTTGTGGCCGCCGCAGTGCGAGCTGGGTTGTACTGGGAGAGCTGGGGAATCGTACTGGGAGCTGTGCTGGGAACACTGAGCTGTACTGGGAGCACAGGGGAGCCGTGCTAGGAGCGCTAGGGAGCCGTACTGGGAGCACCGAGGAGAAATGGGCAGCACTAATAGCACTGAGCTGTACTGGGGAGCACTGGGGAGTTTACTGGGGAGCATTGGGCTGTACTGCGAAGCTGTACTGGGGATCACTGGGGAGTAATGAGCTGCACTGGGAGCAGTGGGGAGCCGGCTGGTGAAAGATGCTAGTTTAAGGGGGGGGGGTTTGGGGGTGCTGTTCCCCAGAGAAGGCGATGAGCTGTGGTTTGGAGTGAGCCCACCCACGCCCATCCAGGCTGGGGTGGCACTTCGCAGACGTGGTGCTGGCAGCGTGACGAGCCGATGCCATATTCGTCCTGACATTTCCCTCCGTGCCAGCCCTTCCCGGCGCTCCAGTTGGCAGCCCCCGGCTGTGGTGGCAGGGTGGCACAGGGATGAGCCAACCCCCTTCCATGGACATCCCAAGCCCTGGGGGGACCTGAGGGGGCTTCTGCCCCCCCCTTTCCCTTTAGCATCGTCCTTCTCCCATCCACTGTATCTCCTCCACCTTGTTCCTGGAGCGGTTTAAGGAGGGCAGGGACTCCCTGTCGCCGCTTCCTCCTTCAGCTTTCATGGAATTATGGAATCCTGGAATGGCTTGGGTTGGAAGAGACCTCAAAGCCCATCTCATTCCACCCCCTGCCATGGGTAGGGACACCTTCCACTAGCCCAGGTTGCTCCAAACCCCGTCCTACCTGGCCTTGGACACTTCCAGGGATCCAGGGGCAGCCACAGCTTCTCTGTGCCAGGACCTCCCCACCCTCCCAGGCAAGGATTCCGTAAATCCCACCTAAATTTCCACTCTTTCAGTTTGAACCCTTTACTCCGTGCTCTGTCACTGCAGCTGCTGAGAGAAGGTCCCCCTCTGACCTCACACCTGGAGCCCAGGGGGGTCACCAGCGTGTCACCAACACGTGTGCAAGAGGTGACACAGAAGTGACAGCAAAGGCACAAAGTATCCAGCATGGATAAAAGGAGCCTGGGACTGTCCCCAGGGTGCCTGCCCTCAGCCACACCAGTGTCACACACTGTCCCCCCCAGCAAGGGGGACCAGCGATGGATGCAGTGAAACCTCCACTCTCCACCCTTCCTCCACCTCTCCTGCCTTCATCACCCTCGGAACAGCCCTTCCCCTTCCTAACCCATCCCTTCTCACCCCGGATTTGGGGACCATCTCTTTCCCTGGTGGGCCCAACCCTTCCTGCAGAGGCACCACCCAGGGCAAATCCGTGCCCAGCAGCTGCCAGCGCTTCTCCTCTCCCCACTCCACGCCCGCAGAGCTAATGAATGCAATTAGTGCGAACGGCTTTGCTGTCATTAGCGAGCCGCGGGGATGGGCAGCAGCAGCAGCAGCAGCGGTGGGGAATGCAGGGAGCAGCATCCCGCCCACGCTCCCCCTGGATGCTCCACACCTCCTCCAGCTCAGCAGATGCTGCTGCTCCCGAGCGAGGATGGGAGGGAGGGAGCGTTGGAGATGGAGGGGAGCCAGCGAGGTGTGAAGCAGCTGAGCCGCCTGGCTCGGCACAGCGAGCGGGAGGCAGTTGGCTCGTTCCTTCACGCTGGCACCGTTTCCCTTTTAAGCTGTTCTGATGGACGCAGAGGAGGATGAGAGGCTGAGAGTTGAGCCCTGACGGTGCAGGAGGGAGGTGGGGACACCTCCAGCGTCTCAGGGTTGGGCAACATCTTGCTGCTCGCTGACACGTTCGGGATGGGCGTGGAAAAGTGGGATCCGTGCTGGGCTCAGTGCTGGTGGGTTTCATTGCAAAAACCCACGATGTCACCTTGTTCCCAGCCCCAGGGATGGGCTGAGGCCAAGCAGCCTCAAACTGTGTCCGTCTGCTTTGCTGGGAAATCATCTGCTCATGAGAGCCCTGTGAAACAGGAGTGGAAATTCGGGATGTGGTAAATTTGGTAGGAGCAGTGTGTCTTTGATTCTACAATCAGGAGGTGTTCTGGCAGCGGAACAAGTAAGAATTACGGGATCATAGAATCCTGGAATGGTTTGGGTGGGAAGGGACCTTAAAGATCTTCCAGTTCCACCCCCCTGCCATGGGCAGGGACACCTTCCACTAGCCCAGGTTGCTCCAAGCCCCGTCCAACCTGGCCTTGGACACTTCCAGGGATTCAGGGGCAGCCACAGCTTCTCTGGGCAACCTGTGCCAGGGCCTCATCACCAATTTCTCCCCAGTATCCCATCTCACCCTGCCCTCTGTTGGTGTGAAGCCATTCCCTCTTGTCCTGTCACTCCATGCCCTCATCCAAATTACTGGGGGAAGCCTGTACTGATTGCCAGGGATGGAGGGAAGAAGGAAAGAGAGGGGAGAAAGGATGGACAACGAAGTTAGAAATTTTAGGTGTCCCTCAGTTTCTGAGCAAGGAGTGTTTCCTCCCACCCTGAAGGAGCCTGTTCTTCCCTGAGCCGGCTCATCCTCTGGGAACAGAAAGCTGTGTCTGGGAAGGAGCTGAAACCCCAAGAGGCTTCACTTTCCCTCACAGACAGGTACCAAAACTCCTGTCAGGGAGATGCCCCCCCTCCAAACCCAGTGGAAACAGGATCCAGCCACAGCCAGGATGGGGAACCCACCTCCCCAGAGGTCCACACACCTCCACACCCGCACAGAGAGAATCGTCTCCAAAGGCTTGAAACAAATCCAAAAGTTTATTTCCAACGAGTACACAGACCACGTGGGATGGGGGATGCGCTACATCACGACGCCGACCTCCCCGCCCTGGCTTCCTCTCACAACCACCCCTTCCCCCAAAAACCTGGCAGTGGCAGGGTTTTTTTTTTGGCACCCAAGGAATGGATTTCCCCACCACCACCACCACCACCGGCAACCTTGGCAGACCAAAAAAAAAAAAAAAAAAAAAAGTCCTTTTCCAGTACTCCAGATATTTTTTTTTTCCTTTAAAAGCCTGGGGGTTGAATGTCATTTGATAGCATGCTGGAAATACAGCATCAGGATGGAGGGATGGCTGGTGTTTTTGTTGAGGAGGGGAAAAATGATCTTGGCAGGCGATCTCTACTCGGCTAACAAAGGCATATCTGTGTAAATATAAATACTGGGGTGCAATACCTGGCAGAACACCAATGTCAACACCACTACCAACATAAAACAGAGCCCAGCAACATAAAACACCTTCAATGAGTAGTTTGGGTTAATTCAAAATTCCCTCCCCCCCTTTCCCCCATATTCTTCATGCAGGTTTATTTCATCGCTTAGTTATTAAGAATTCGAGTTGTAAAATAGGCAAGTCATTAAAAAAATTATTACAAACCACTTTATGACAGTGTTTTTTGGGAAGGGTTGGGGGTGGGAGGCCCCGGGTCAGGCCGGCTGCGCTTCACTCTCTGTGACGGTAAATCAGCATTAAAAAAAGAACAGACAGAAGACCCAGGATGGGGTATTTACATGTCTTGGTAACACCAAGAGCGAAACCAGCTGCGGAGCAAACGGCTTCATCCATCCTTCACCCTAAAGCTACACGAGCTGTAGTAAAAAGATCAAAAATTGGAGGGTTGGGAGGGTTAGGAAGGGCCAAAAGCCACCATGGGGGGATGGGGGACTGGGACCATCCACGCTACTCGTGGCGTATAAACATTCCCAGGTGCCAAAGGGTTTGAGTCCAGTGTAAGAACAACGGGCCTTCTCTGTAGAAGACTAGAAAAAGAGTATGAAAAGGTAGAAAAACCAAAAAGCACTTGTTACGGGCTAGAAAGAGTCACCCAAAGGTACCTAAAGACTATTGCCCTCTGGAATCCACAGGGATTAAGCTGATACCTGGTTCAGAACTAGTTTAGTAAGGTCACCACAGATCGCCCCCAAGTCCCTGTGAGACACCCACCTTGTTTTGTACTCAGATCCCCACGATATGATTCCCAAAGTTACGATTCCCAAAGTTTGCCAGGAGTGCAGAAGAGCAGGGGAGGTGTTTAGCAGCGGAAAGGAGAGACAAGCCACGTCCTCAAAAGTGTGAACCCGAGGCAGAGCCCAGAAAAGGCGATTCATCCCCTGAGAGGGGATGAACCGGAGCTGGGAATAATTCCCCAGCCTGACAGGGAGCTCAGGCTGTGTGTAAACAGGGGGTCAGGCACCTCCCCAAGCTGCTCCCCTGCCCCTTCCCGAGGTGGTGAGGAGGGAATGGGATTCAGTGGGTGTGGGAAGGGGCTGAAGCATCCCACCAAAAAGCAGCATCCCCTGGTGGGGCAGCATCCCCTGGTGGGGTGCCATCCCACCGTGAAGCATCATTCCACCATGAAGCAACACCCCAGGGTGGATCAGCATCCCACCACGCAGCAGCATCCCATGGTGGAGCGGCATTCCACCGTGGAGCAACATCCCCACCACAAAGCAGCATTCCAGACCAGCCCCAAGGGAAGGAGGTGCTACCAGGAAGCCAAAGAGCAGGGCCAAGCGAGGAGGGCAGAGGCACAGAGGTGTAGGAGAAAGGAAAGACCCGGAAAAGGAGCAGTTGACTTTGATTTTCGGATTTTTAGCTACCCCACAGCGCCCGGGGCAGGGGCCACCCCGAGCCCCTTCGCCCGGGTTGTGGCACCTGCCCCTATCACAGGAGGTATTTCAGGCACATCTAAGGCATCACAGGAGTTCACTCTGCTTTCAGAATCGCCTCAGTCTCCTCCCTACAGCTCCTTCCACCAGCCAAATGATAGAAAAGAAAAGTCTGGAGCGGATGGACGGACACAAACTCTCATGCACTACCACCGAACGTCGTCACAGGAGTATGAAGCACCAACCACGACACATGAATCACTTTTACTTGCAGAACCAAAGCTAACCATATACAAAATGGTTAAAAAAAGTGGAGTTTGCCAGGAACACGTTGCTGCCAGCACGTGGGGGACAGGCAGGAGCTGCCGGTGTCCCCCTACCCGCAAACCCACCGTGGGGCCACTCAACCCCCCTGCTCTGCTACCACCAGAAATGAAAAAGCACAAGACCAAACACTGAGTAACACCATAAGTCACCTAACCTGTTGCTATATACCTGACAACTTAAATAAAAAATATTAGTTTGGAAAGAAACCAACAATATCATTCCAAGAAGGTTATACACATCCTGAGCGGTTACTTTGCTCAGCACGGCTCTGGTGCTTTGAATATGGAACAATCAAACGATTTTTGTGAGCAGAAAAGTGACACAGATTTATTCTTTACATTTTTTTTTTTTTTCTCTTTCTAGGCAACTCTACAGACTTCAGATCTTTTGCCTCGCAATGCAGATCATCTTATTCCCCCAAAAGGTTCTTTAAACATGCACATCTCTGTAGCTTCCAGGCCGTGTATTTTACTTATTTTTTTTTGTTTAAATTCTGAGGACTAGCGGGTCGTCCCCATTCCTAAAAACTCTACATCAGTGTTCAGGATGGCCTGAGTGCCCGTCAGGCTCCTCCAGGGTTTACAGGATCACACAGAAGAACTTCTTCTCTCTAAAGGGGTTTTCTGAGGCCGGGACGGGGGTCAATAGAGGGTCCTCCTTGGCGTGGGCTTCGCAGTACGCCATCAGGTCTGCTGCTGCTTTGGACACCTGCAATGGAAAGAGCCCCAGTGTTAGGGACAGGCTGTGCTGGGAAAATCCCACCTGGAAAAAGATGCTGCCAGCAGGGCTGGGCAGGAAACACCAGACCCTCGACAAGAACCTGACCAGCGGCCTTGGTGGGGCTGGTTCTTCACCTCTGCGCTCAGGGCTGGTTTTTAACCTCTGGGCTCTAATCTGTCGGCACATGATCTGAAAAGCATCCTTCACATCCTTTACCCATTCCCATCCTTCACATCCTTCACCCAACTTGACCATAGCAAGGTCTGACTTTAGCATCCCTGCATCCCTGCTAGCTCTCCCCCAAAACCCTCAGCAGGGACATCCACAGCTGCCACAGCAACATTTCCTTCCCTCAGCCACCAACCTCGTTATTTATTCCGGACATGGCAGCAGCTCCCGAGCCGCTGGAGCTCAGCCACACCCCAAGAGGTGAGGTGTTGCTTGCATCCAGTTGTGCCTGCAGCCAGCAGCTGCCACTGCAGCACTTCTCTCCCCGGGTTTAACCTCTTCCCACGGAGGTGAGATGCCTTGGGAACAGTCAGTCCTTCCCACCCACCCAGCAGGGCTCCAGGTGAGGCTTCCAGCTGCTTTCCGTCCCCAGGAGTGCTGGACGGGGCTTGAAGCAACCTGGTCTAGTGGAAGGTATCCCTGCCCATGGCAGGGGGTTGGAACGAGATGGGCTTTCCTTTCCAACCCAAACCACTCTGGGATTCTGTAATTCCACGGGCAAGCACCTCCGGTGCCTCCCTGCCTTCAGCCACGGCCATCGGGATCGCTCTGTAAACATCACCCAGCACCACCTCCCAGCTCCCACCACGTGCTTTGGGCAGCTGCTCAGCAGCAGCCACCACCTCACAGCATTCCCCAGCCAGCTCCCGAGCCTCCCTACCTTTATCCTGTCGATGTTGGCTTCCATCTTCAGCTGCTCCACCAGCTTCCGTGCCTGCGCTATGCTGGCAGTGTTGTTGCTAGCCATGGGCAGGCCAGGCACGCTCCCCGGGCGGGCTGAGGGGCAGGAACACACGTGGATCAACTGCTGGGCCCCGAAATTCCCCGAACTACGTGCTGGGGTGGCGCGCGTGGAGCGTCAGAGCCATCGGAATGAGGGTGTGAGGAAGGGAGACGCAGAGCCAGGGCGGGGAGCTGCAGTGACCCGCTGCCCGTGGCCCTCTCCTGTGCCCTCCCCCCGGTCCCCAGAGCCAAGCTTTGGGACCATTTGGACCATCTGGAGCCCAGCTGAGCCGTTCTCTGGCATTTGCCGTTCCATTGAAAGCCTGTGACAAGCAACAAGGAAGGCTCATTCCCCGCTCATCGTCCGGCCCGTGCCGGTGCCCAGCGTGAGTCCGGTGTCCCTCGGCCTCCCTCGCTTTGTTCCTGCTGCCAATTTGAACATTGAGATGCTAAACAGGATGCTGGAGTTTCCTGTTTCTCGAGATTTCTACCCCAGGCAGTCGGGGAGGGGGGGAGGGGGACGCTCATTAAGTCCCTGCCGGGCTCTGTCACGGCTGTTTTCCCGTCACCTTCCAACAGCAGCGAGCTCCGGCCAGAATTCCAGCATCCCAACTCCTCCGGCAGCCGACACTTTTACAAGCGGCAAGTATTTTCCAGTAGAGGCACAGCTGTGCTGCTGCCTGACTGGGGCTGCCTGCCAGCTCCAAAACATTAGGGTTGGTTTTTTTTTTTTTTTTGGGGATGTCCTGCAACAGCAGGGCACGGCGAGACCCCTGAGTGGGTGGGACAAGGAACGGCACAGCCCTAAAATGAGAGGATCGCGATGTTTTAAGGAAAAGCTGAGGGCGTGTCCAGCTCAAGCCCATTATAAGGGTGTTTGCACACCTGCGACTTAAAGAAAAAAAAAAAAAATCAACCTGGCACTAGTGCCTGTGCTCAGAGAGTGAGTCGTGCCGGGATTTGAGGATGAGACCCCCCCCCCCACCCCACACCCGCCGCCCGGTGGGGACCCCAAGGGAGTTATTTTTTACCAGAAACCGCTCTCTGCGCTGATCTGTGCCTCTAGGGGAAGACCTGCTCCTCTCGGCCGCTCACCACCTTCGAGCAAAGGGAACGTGAAATCAAAAGGAGCCGGGTTAGGTTGCAGCGATGCCTCTCAGCTCCATATTTACGGCACCAGGAGCCCCGGAGGTGCCGCGGATCCGAGCTCCGTGCCCGGCACGGCGGCTGCGGATTTCCTTCCGCGCGTGTCCCGTCCCCCCTCCACCACCACCCCCGCCCCGTGCCGTGCGAGCACAACCCCCCAGCGGCATTATTTGTTCGCGTTCGGCGAGGTTTTCGGCACAGGAAGAGGTTTCAAGTGAGTATCCGAGGCTCGTGGCTGCTCCCCAGCTCGCGGGAGGACGGAGGATGCTCAGGGATGGATTGAACCGTCCGGTGCGCAGAGCACGCGTGGCGGGACGGAAGGAGCGTCCCGCGGGGAACGCTGCCAAAAATCCTCCAGCTAGCTCCCAACAGCCCGAGCTCCTCCCGGCTGGATCTGCTCTCCCCGGGGCACAGCTCTGTGCCTTCACTCTCTGTGCGCTGTTTCCGCGCTGCTTTATCTCATCTCATCTTTCTCACACCTTTTTTTTTTTTTTTTTCTTTCCCCTTCTTCTTTGGCTGGAGAGGAGTTCGAGCGGCAGGGTACAACTCTCCTTTTTTATTCTCTCTCTCTGCTTTTTCCTGCCAGTTCTCCCTGCAAAGTCACGGAGTGGCCTTGGCAGGGCTGGGGGAATGGTTGGACTCAATCTTAGAGAGTTTTTGCAACTTAAACAATTCTATGTTGTGTGTCCTTTCACACAGAGGACCTGTTGCTGCTCCAGTGGCAAGGACTCACTTCAGAGACTTCAGCAACTTCAGCCACTCCTGTTTAAGGTCCTTAAAGGAGGCATGGGAGCAGGGAGGGCTGCTGGGAGCATCTACACAGCTGCTACAGCACTGATCTTAAAAAAAAAATTATATATATCCAACCCTGCTGCCACCCTCCTGCAAGCAAACCCTCCCTTCTCTTACTGCCTCCATCCCTGGGGGCTCTTAAGTGCAGAAAACAGCCCCAAAAACAAGGCTAGGGAAGACCAAGACCCTGCTGGGACAGAGGAAGGGACATCTGTGTGAGCTGGGATGTCCCAGGGCTGCTGAGATGATGTTGGGAACTCAGGGGCAGCTCAGCCACCTTGTGAGGACCCTCCCAGGGGCCACCACAAACCCCAGCCACGCTCAGCCCCTCTGCAGATGCTTCCAACTAGAAACTAAAACCATTTTTGGGGACCAGCGATGGTTTCACAGCATTTCCACTCTGTGAGTTTCCTTCCACATGAATAACAAAAACACAGCAGGTGACACTTCAGAGCGAGCTCGTGAACATCCTGCACCGAAAAACAACCCCACAACAGCCCAGGAGGCAGCGAAGCTGCTCCAACAGGGCAGTCACAAAAGCAGGTTTTTCAAATCCCAAAGTGAGGACACCCCACTGTACCTCCAGGAGTGTGTGGAGCCCCTGAGAGTAAACCTAAACCCCCCTGACTTTTTGTTTGGATTGGCTTTATCACAGGATCACAGGATGGTTTAGGACACCTTCCGTTATCCCAGGTTTCTCCAAGCCCCATCCAACCTGGCCTTGGACACTTCCAGGGATCCAGGGGCAGCCACAGCTTCTCTGGGCAACCTGTGCCAGGGCCTGCCCACCCTCACAGGGAAGAATTCCCTCCCAATATCCCATCTAACCCTGCCCTCTGGCAGTGGGAAGCCATTCCCCCTTTTCCTGTCACTCCATGTCCTTGTCCAAAGTCCCTCTCCAGCTTTTTTGCATCCCTTTAAATGAATTCAACCCTTTCAACCCTTGACCCCCCTGCACAACAGACAAGTATCAAAAGAACCTGCCAAGATCCCGGGGTTGTAATTACAGTGGCAGAGCCCAGAAGAGACAATATCCATGCACTGGACACGTTAAACATCATTAGCAAGGAAATAACAAGCAAGGACTCATTAACCTGTGGGCTCCAAGGCACGAATCCCATTATCCAGGCCCACGTGCCATCGAGTGAGGGAAATAACACACTGTCTGCATTCCCTTGGGAGCACCATAAAACCCTTTTCACTGTAGGCAAAGTTTGGCACAACAGCGGCGAGATCAGCCAGTGACAAGGGGGATATCAGGAAATACTGGGAAGTGGGGTGATTTTTAGATTTATGGTTGGCATTTTCCTTCCAACTCGAGGATTTACCCACTTTCCAAGGTGTAATCAGGGGTAAGAAGGCATTGGGGGTTGAAGGAGAGGAGGATGCTCCAGCAACTTAGATTAAATCTCTTCCCTGGGAGGGTGGGCAGGCCCTGGCACAGGTTTCCCAAAGAAGCTGTGGCTGCCCCTGGATCCCTGGAAGTGTCCAAGGCCAGGATGGAGCAACCTGGGCTGGTGGAAGGTGTCCCTGCCCATGGCAGGGGAGTATAATTAGATTGTGTTAAAGGTCTCTTCCAACCAAAACCACCCTGTGATTCCATGATTCCACGAAAAGCGCTTGCAAAAAATGCCTGGGCTCGGAAGTTTTGCTGCTAATTTTTACTGGTTGGTACCTAAGCTGCAAAAAAACCACCTCATTTTTTGTTGTCTGTTGAATTTAATGTGCTCTGAGTTTAAAGCCAGCGTTGCTTTGCACCGAGGAAGAACTAGTCCTCCTCTATCCCAGTAAATTAATCCCATCTACCTTGATTTCTGGATGCATTTCCACAGAAATTGCCACGTCAAACCCAAAAAAGCCATCGCGAAAGGAGCATTTCTCCACGCCGGGCCCTCCTGCCGAGCTGCCATCCCACTCCTCCCTCCCAAACCGGGCTCCTGTGGGGCTCTGGCATCCCAGAGCTGCCAGCCCTGCCTGAAACAGTAATTAGGCTTCGTTTGCCAGCTCCTTGTCAGCACAAGCTGCCGCCCGCTCTGCGTAGATCTCTGCTGAAAGGGCTGCGGAGCAAGTGCTTGGGAAGAGAGGATCCTGGAATCTGAGTGCCCTGTACCAGCTCCATCGTCAGCTCCAGCTCCAAACCCAGGAAATCCGAGCCCAGCCTCTCCCCTAGCAGTTTCCCTTCGCTTGGGGTTTATCCAACTTGCACGTGGGTGGAGACAGGAATTCTCATAAATGTTTAAAAAAGTGGCACTTCTCCATCCCTGGAAGTGTCCAAGGCCAGGTTGGAACAGGCTTGGAGCAACCTGGGATAGCGAAAGGTGTCCCTGTCCGTGGCAGGGGGTTGGAATGAGCTGGTCTTTAAGGTCCCTTCCAACCCAAACCATTCCATGGTTCTATGATTTTAAGCGTGATTAATTAGTGCAATTACCCTTAACAGGACACCAGAATCCTTGGAAAGCATTTCCTTACATTCCTGAAGGTGCAAACGGGCATCGGGTGAGATTTCACGGATGTCACAAGACATCCCTGTGTCTCTCAGGGTCTGAAGTGTTTACCCATCCATCTGTGATCCTCTGCACTTTTAAACCCGGGGGAAACACCCTCTCCTGTCTCTCAGCTGGAATTGGAATAGGCAGGAACAGGCACTGGAACAGGCTGCCCAGGGCAGTGGGGGATTCACCATTCCTGGAGGGATTTCAAAGCCCTGTGGATGTGGCACTTGGGGACGTGGGTCAGTGGTGGCCTTGGCAGCGCTGGGGGGAAACGGTTGGACTCCTTGATCCTTCTCTAACCTAAACGATTCTATGATTCATTTCTCCAGACTTTTTTCATCTCCCAGTGAGTGTGTTCTCAGCTCTCTCCCACCACGCTTCCCAGCTGAACCGAAAGGAAAAGCAGGAATGAAACAGAAAGCGCTGCCAGAGCGAAACCTCGCTGTTCCCTCACCACAGAGACCAAAATGCAGCATCACCCACCACCCAGAACGGCTCCTTTTCGGGGTGAAAGCAGGAGCTTCCCTGCCCCTTGATTTCAGTAAAAAGTCGTATTTCCCATCCCTGATGCACCGATGTTTTCCACCCAGTTAGCAGCAGAGTGGGTGAATCCCACTGGGGCAGCCAGGATTTGGGAGAGAGAAGGGATCAGGCTTGTTCCTACCAGCCAGGGCATCCACCAGGGCTTTTGGGTCCAAAAGAGGGGTATTTTTTTGTTGCAGAAAAAGAGATTTTTGATCCAGAAAAGGTGCCAAGCTGGGTATTTTAATGGAGGGATTTATCCCAGCTCTCATTCACGCTGGGATTTCTCCTGCTCCCTGCGCTTCCCGACAGCTGAGCCCACCCCAGCTCGCTGCATCCCCTCTGAGACAAGCGGGCTCTCCCAAAAACTGCCTTTTCCTCCCCAAAAACCAGCCATGACACAGCATCCAGAAGGGATAACTGAGCATATGGAGGTGCCGTCTCCTCCCTGGAGCCGGTGCTGCTGGTCACCGGCCGGCTGGAGCGTGGGAATCCCTCCTGAGGGGCTTGCCTGGCTCTGCCAGGCATCCTGTTGCTTTTCCTAAAAGCCACAGCTAAAAATAGGTGGCTCAGCTGAAAAAATAACTGCTAAATATAGCTAGAAAAGCATAAAAATATTACAGGCTAAAAAGAAAATAGCAGAGCCACGTTTGCAGGGGGTGGGAGATGGGGTAGTCGTGTGGATCCCGACAGCAGTCACAGGCCTAGGTGGGAAAAGAGCCTTAGCACGCCCAAATTCCATGTGTTTCGTTGTTTCCTCAAGGGAAGAAAATGTTATGAGCTCTCTTTGTGCCCGTGGGCTCCCATCACCCTGCTTTGCTGGGGCAAAGAACCTTAATCCTGAGCGGTGGTTACAGCCACAGCTCCCAAAGCCCCATCCACAGGGATTTGATTCCCTTTTTCCAACAGCCATTTTTTATCCCTGCTGCTCAGCACGGTGTATAAATCACTATAAAGCAGCTTGCAGGTCAGAGACGTGCTGGCAAATAAATAAATAAATTAAAAAGACAACTGAGTGGAAAAAAAAAAATGGGACTGTTTCCATGGAAACAGCTCCGTTATCACACCAACATCTGATCCCTCCTGCCAAACAGGGATGAGGTGGGATGGGTGCCCATTCTGGCCCACATCATTCGATACCAGACT